TTCCCTGAAACCCTGTTCTGTGTTCTCTTTGTAAGAAAACATTTGCAGGTTTCGGTCTCCTGTCCTCTCTATTATTATAAACCCTAAATGCCAAGTGCACTACCTGGGACGGACTCATCTCTGTGACGCCGCCCACCTTAGCTAACTTTTTCTTTATGTCTGGGGCACTATGGGTAATGAAAGCCATAGTGATCAGACGAGCATTTTCTGGGGCATCTGGGTTTATATCCGTGTGGTTAGTGTATGTTTGAATAATCCTCTCAAGAAACTCCGACGGATCCTCATTAACTCCTTGTTCGAGTTGCAATATTTTGTTAAAGTTTTTTTGTTTGGGGATTCCCTGCTGCAGTCCTACCAATAAACATTTTTTATACAGATCCAATATCGCCATTCCTCCATTGTAGGGTCCCATCCAGGATCTTCCTCTGGGACAACCTCTGGCTCTGGGGACTGCCTATTCTGTTGGTGGAGACGGTCAGCCTCCTCCCTGCCTTTCCTGAATACCATCCTCTGCTCATCCAGAGTTAATAAAGTATGGAGCATGGACTGTATATCTGCCCAGTTAGGGTGGTGGGAGATGAAGATAGAGGCAAACAAGTTCGCCATCCTCTTAGGAGCCTGCAGGTACGAGGGAACAGAGCTCCTCCAATTTAGGAGGTCCGCAGTACTGACAGCTGACAGGATGGTGCGACCAAAAGTAACAGCAGGTCTCCCATGTTCATTCAAGCCACCCATTGGCATCTGGCGAAGGGGAAACTGTCCTGCCTCAGGGTGATCCTTCCTGCCAAAATGGGTGCCAAGTCTAGTGTGGGGAGGAGACACCATTTTAGTTTCCTCCCTGGAGGGCAGTGGAGGCTGTGAAGCCTCAGGAGTCTGCACGGGAGGGGCCTTGTCACATGGAAGAGGATTTTGTCCTGATGTATTTAAAGTATTTAAAATATGATGCTCCTCCTCTCTAACTCTGCCCGCTGGCAGTCCTCATGGAAAGAGGAAGGTTTATCCTTCTCTGTGCCATAAGCCGAGCCTGCGCCATATCCAATTTATGAGGGCGACCTCTATCCGGTCCTGCATATTTTTAAAAGCTTGATCTTGTATGCTTTTATAAACTGACTCAAAGATGTTACGGTTCTCATCCCTCATGCACTTAATAGTTAAATCAAAGGCCTGATGTTGTTGTATGGCCATGTTAAAAGCCTGAATTTGTTGTTGCATGGCTAAGTTAAGAGCCTGAATGTGTTTTTGCACATTCTCAGTATGTGAAGTAGAACATCTACCTCTCATAGAAACAAGAATGCAGCAAATGGCACTTACACATATTACCAAAAAAACACCCAGAAGCACAGACTGTAAAGGGATGGCTTGTAAACCACCCATGTATGTATACAATAGTAAAATCACGTGCCATACACCAGGCTTCGTCAAATTATTTACATTGATGACTCTAGTGGTGATATTTAATGGAAGAAGACTACTCAAATTCAAGGCTGGAAGGAAACTGAAAGAAGTCAGGCTAGGGATGAAACTGTATAGGCTCATGGTTGAGGCCATATTTGAGTCAAAAACGCACCCACAAGGGCTGTACGCACAGGGAAAAAACAGACTTTTCAGGACTTGAGACAAATATTATACTGCGAGTCCTGCAGAACTAGTGCGCTTATGGTGACCAACACAAGGAATGTTACTTTGGGCTGGTCAACCACAGGTGTAACTTGGAAACCACGCTGGGCACCAAACTGTTATAGAGCAGCCCCGATACAAAACCGGGTGCCTGACTGTGGGTCCTCACCTGCGCGCTTAAAAGGACTTATCAATGCTCTACTGCAGGCACATGCGAAAGGTTAATAAAAGGTTTATTTACAAGGGAAGGGGAAATGAGGAAATGTACAGCTCAGGGAGAAAAGTGGGAGACAAAGTTTTAAATGCGTCCTACCCAATCCGCTGATCAGGAATCCCAAATGGCACTCTGAGAGCTGGCTGCAAGCCCGGAGCCCTGAAGCCAGGAGGCGAGCGATAGTGAGCCACCCCAAGGCCCACGTGTTTGGATTTTATACCCAACCTGGCAGCTGAAATCCACCCTCAGGTCCCAGCCACCTTCCCTTTGGTGGTGATGGGATTTGTCTTTCCCAATGTCTTGATGGCTTTAGTCTGGACCAGGAGTGGAGTCCACAAAGCCTGTATGGGATTAGCTCAGGACATCATTTCCTCTTAACACTTGGAGTTGTGCTTACTGGAACTGCAGTGGCTGCAGCTGTGATGTGGAGGAGGAAGTGCTCAGGTAGGGAAGGGAGTGGGGGATCTTGTCCACTGGGGGATTTCAAGTCCCAGATACAACTTTGCCCTGCTTGGTTAATGGAAATACCATCCACACACCTGTTGCCCGAACTAGAGCTGATTGCTAACACCGCCTTTTGTAAAGAACATGTGAAATGTGAAAGTGAATCAGATTGTTCTCATTGATAATTCTGGTGATGGGGACCTGATTCCCAGAAAATATCAGTGCGCAAAGTTCCTGCATGGGACAGACTCCAGGAGGCAGTAAGTCCAGTCCCCCTTCATCTCCTTTCTTCATATTGCCCAGTACTGCTATAGGTCTTCAGTCACAGTTCTGGAAACTTCCCTTTGGCCCAGGCTAGGGGATTCCTTTAGGACTTCACGGCCTGACTCCTCCGTGGTCTCACGTGATGTTTTATTCCCACAGGAGGAAAAGGAGCGAGCTACTCCCAGACTGGAGGTAAATGGATCAGGGTTTATGATTATTCAAACCCTTGGGATAGTGTAGATGGAGCCCATAGGATAAGCTGACTCAGCAATTCCACCCTCATTCTCATCTTCTGTGGACCCTGACCCAGTTCTGATTTGTTCTTCCTCAGGCAGCGAATGTGCCCGGGCGGCTAAGGAAGGCAGCAGGGTTTTTTGAGGCAGACTGCAATCTCCCCGGGCTTAGCAAAATTTACACTTTTGTGTACAGCTGCTTGGAGACCAGCTAGGAGACAGGTAATAAAATGGTCTCGGTGAACTCTGCCCCGGGGGTCCTGCCTGTGTCAGTCTGGTAGTCCCACCCCGGCTCTGGGCTGGGTACTGCTGCAGAGCCTGGGGGCATGGCTTTGTCAGTCAAAGGGACCTGATCTGCTTGGTCTTGGGCAGACCTAAAACACATTCACTTTTGTCAGAGATCTGGGTGGAAGAGAAGATCACATGTAATCATGACAAGTAAGGTCACAGGCTTGGGTAAGATAAGGAAACTCTTTGGTGTAGGTGGTGGGATTGTTAGTGAAAGAGCCAAGAAGCTTTTCAGTCTGGGAGAGACCAGACAGAGAGGAAGGACCATGGACCCTAATTCCTCCTTCAGTCCCCGCCACTTCCCTGAGGGGACCCAGAAGAGGACAACCCAGAGCGGGTGTGGTGGCTAGGAGAAAAAAGGGGGGGAGGCTGGATTGGGGAGCTGGAGGAGGTGAAGACTGAGAATCTAGAGGATCAGAGAACACAGAAGAGGGTTCAGAGAGGGGAAGAGTGAGAGGAGTCTCAAGACTTGGAGAGTGTGGCAGGTTTTCAGGAGGGAGGGGCTGGAGGGGGGACGGGAGCACAAGAGAAAGCCAGCCTGGCCCTAAGGGATCTCTGACCATTTTTCATTGCGGTAACAGAACTCTTTAGGTCTATAAGGATTGAGAAGTCACAAGCGCCATGCTCAGGACTGTGGGAGCCATTGTCCAATTGGAATTGAGGCCACACAGTGCTGCGGGAAAAGATGAGATGCTTAGGGATGGAGGTTTGAGAGAAGGCATCTGTCGCGAGGGTGATAGATAAGCTTCAGTCGGAAGTTGGCTCTCAGAGAGAATTTGATTCCTATATTGGTCACACACACACTTACGTTCATACAGGCAAGCCAACCCCAAGTTCCCAAAGTACGTTTGACTGAAGACAGTCACTGCGACTTGTCAGGCCTTCCATCTAGGTGGATGTCCTCCAGCCGTGGAAGTCTCTAGGCTCAAGGGCCCGCAGTGCAGATGGTTGCGCCGGGTGTTGAGCTGATAGGCTGCTTGTGCTGCTGTCAGGGGGCAGGTCCTCAGGGAGCCTTCGAAATTCATCCTGGAGGTGCGGCCCCCATCCCCCTACGTGAGCGTGCTGCTGGGGCAGGGCAGCCACCTTGGGAGCTTTGAAACCGGATCCACCACAGGGCAGAGGAGATCTGAACCCTCCTCCTTATGGTGGCAACTGAGTCGCCTTCAGGGTAAGCTTATGTTGTCCCATGGCTTTGGAAAGCCTGAGGGTCCAAGCCACACCCTCGGTCCAGAGCCACCTTGCAACCAGGCAGGTAACAGAGTGCCTTGCCCTCCATGCCCGGTGTTGCTGTGCTCGC